TCAAGATTTATTATAAAGGACACATGCTTAGAACCAGAAAGACACGTTAGATTTTAAAAATGAAGAAAGACGGCTTAGAAAATTTAACACTCACAGGACATATTGAAGACAGACGAAAACAGCGCATGACCTACCTAGCGAACAGGTAAAATGTTTGGCAGAACAGGGATTAGGAGATATCTGCTATATTTCTGAGATGAGGTATTGTAAGTATTTACATTGTTCGGGCTGTTGTCCTCATCTCTATTGCCATATTCACGAGGTTTCGGCCGTTATACGCTCCGTTCTTCTTCAGGATCTGTCTATATTTCTGAGATGAGGTATTGTAACTATTTACATTGTTAGGACTGTTGTCCTCTTCTTTGTTGTTATATCCATGACATTTCTTTTTTCGTCCTCTACTGCTGTAGCCAAGTATTGAACTCCCAATCTGAGTCAAGTCCCTGAATTGCTTCAACCAACGCCTTTATCCACTGAAACATGTGTCCTTGGGAATTAAAGTGCTGGTTGATGTAATCCAGTGACATCAGCAAAATAGTTGTGAGTTCAATACCTGGCCACGGCAGAGGTGAACAAAAAACTTGGAGAGTTGAGTTACTAAAGGTAAAATAACTGAAACTGAGATATCCAGAAGCGGCATGGCACGTGGAACTAGAACAATCTGCCCCGGTGGACGAAATAAAGGGTTCGGTTCGAAATTCCAATCACCTGAAGAAGGCCGGGCGTACAATGGCAGAAACGTTGTGAATATGAAAATAAAGATAGGGGCAACAGTCCGAACAATGTAAATAAGGATTAGTAAGTTAAACTATACTGAGAGCTGCAAAGACGGGAAATTGTGGAGAGCCATGATCGATCGTCCACATCCTGAACGGACACGCCACATAGAAGGATAAGGGTAGCCCTCTATACTTAACAAATTGCCCCTGCATAGTTTTCTTTGTCTTTGATTATTTTTTTCTTCTACCTCCTCCTCCTTTTCTTTTTTTTTTTATCGCTTCAGTTCTCTACTTCTTCGCTGTCTTCTTTTTCTTCTTTGCCCCGACAATGACAGAAAGGAAACAGTACAGATAATTGTGTCCAAAACTTATTGTCGCATATTGCGTAGACCGTCGGGTTAAGGGTGTAGAGTTGGTACGAGCGGAGGAACAGATTGTACGTCAGTTCGGCAGCGGGTTCCAGATTGACAAAATCCGACACCACAGTCCGGTAAATCATTAACGCATGATACGGCAAAAAGCTGATCGTGAAGAAGGCCGTAGTAAGAAATAGTTTAAAAGTGGTCCGTTTCAGCTTATAGAACTGGTATCTATTCTTTTTCTCAATTGTGCTCTTGCGTATCTGCAAGGGGTCTCCTTTGATATGGTTTACAGTCGGGTTGCTTTTGCTCTTCCCTTTCGACTGTTTCAACATAAGGGGCACCTCGTTGACGGCGATATTGTGAAAACTGTTCCGGCTCGCCGACAAATACGTCATACTGAACGAGAAAGTCTTTTTGCGCATGTGCAGCGTGCGCCATATTAGTCCGTACAGAATGCTCAGGGGGATGAGAATGACGACAAACAGGATGAAAAGAAAACCGTAGTAAATCTGCGGAAAGACAGAACGACTGTTTTCAGCGGTTGACGAACACTCGCTGACAGTGATGTTCAACTTAGGCAGTGTGTAAGTGTGCTGGCCGTAGATCAGAACGACCGGGATGGACATCGCTAACGCCAACGTCCCGGATAGGATCGAAATCTTTACGGCTAGCTGACTTTCTATTTTCGATTTATGGGGTTTGCACACTCGTATGTACCTGTCAACCGCAATAGCCAAGAGAATAAATCCGGACGCAATGGCCGTGCCTGTTATCTGCAAGCGTTGGAATTTACAGGTTTCGATATAGTAGTAAGGATAACGCATTTCAACAATCTCCAGCGGGAGGGTTACCCCACAGCAGATGAGGTCGTAAATGCCGAGAGATAGGATGAAGCAGTTCGTTGGCGTGTGTTTCACCATTCGACCGTAGATGTAGCAGACGAGGGAATTACCAATAATGCCAATGATCATCGTCATGCCGATGTAGATAGATACAGGCACATAGAGAATGGCTTTGCGATTGTTCAAAGCAAGAAATTCTATTTCAGTGATGTTTGTCATCGCCATTTTCTTTTTTTTAAAATTTACGATCAGACCGTTTAGTTTTTTTTTTTTTTTTTAGAAACAACAAAGAAAATCAAACGCCGTACCAGAGTAACTTGTCGATGAATTAAAATAAAAATTCTAACACAAATTAATAATCTGTAATTGTCTACAATACGGGCGCAATTATAAAGTGTTCACCATATTTTTTTTTTAATAATCTCTTTGTTAATATATTACGAACATGAATAATACGGAGAATAAAAAGTTCTTGAGCGATCCCAAAAGTTAGAAGACTAAATTTCTGGATACTTTTTTTTTTTTTTTACCTTGGCAAGCACGTTTCACTTAAAACAAATACACCTGTTTTTAATCCAAGAGTGTAATGTTCATGTTTCATCTTCTGTTTATTTAAACAAATGTAACTCGAGAAGTTCCTTATTGGGAATATCGTGGGAACATTTTTGTCCTGAATGTAAACAGTGATAAGCAGGCAGTCACAGGATTTTATATTGTTTAAGGCTTCTCTTTTACTTATATCAATTGCAGGCTGTTTTTTTTTTCTTTTAGATATTACGCGATAGTGAAACGGCCAGATGTGCTACCGGAACACTCGACCAAAAGGGAACTCTGGGATATGTTATCGGTAATATAATGGCGGTTTCGTTATTTAATGCATCGGGGAAGTATTATTATTATTATTATTATTATTATTATTTTTTAATCACTTCCTCATCGTTCAAAGTACAACTTCAGCAATGAATTGGGAGAAATTGTGTATTTTCCTCAGCAACATCCGAGTCTCCCCACTTCGAAGTCCAGGAAAAAACATGGGGAGATAACTCGGGTTCTTTTTTCACCGGTTCCATGTGGTCACTTTGTGCTGATCCCCATTTGCGTATCTGCATGAGTTGTGCGACTTTGAGCCATTCCTGAAAGAGGAAAAGAAAAACAAAATGAAAATTAGGACAGAAAACAAACGTATAAACAAAAACCAGACAAATTTCATTTTTATTTCCTAGGAATTATTTTCAAGATTCATATTGGTGGTGGCTGTCCGTTCGTACCGGAGTAAATCTGTCTACAGGCACATTTGTGTTTATTCAACACCCACAGAGTCCTCCTGTCGTTTATACTGCAACTATGCTGAGCGGACCTTTGTTACACTTATCTGGCTCGATCAACATTTCAAGGCAGGTACGCTCATGCCCTCGGTCACGATGACTTGCGACTTCATGCTAGCTCAATCACCGACGGCTCCAAAATAGTTCCCTCAATCCAATTAAAAAAAAAAAAAATATCCAGGAGTGTGGTGGCTGAGCGTTATATATATATATATATATATATATATATATATATGAAAAGTGAACATTGAAGTCAATACTTAGAGGCGACAGGCTGTTTCATGCTAGACGCAATCTATATATATATATATATAAATATAAAAGTGAACATTGAAGGTGGCATGACGATTGCGTTTAGCATGAAACAGCCTGTCGCCTCTAAGTGTTGACTTCAATGTTCACTTTATATTTACACACGCTCTGTCTCTGATATTGAGCACTTTACCCCATAAATGTAGCACACCTTAAGACTATATATATATATATATATATATATATATATATATATATATAGTTAGTTAGTTAAAACTGAAAACAAACGCTCGTGAACAGTGAAAGTTTTCTTTAGTCAGGCATAAGGCCGCAAAAGTTGGGCAGAAACTGCTAAAGAGATAGATGGATATGAACAAATTGAGAATAGACAGATAAACAAACAAATATGAACAGACATATATATATATATATATATATATATATGTATATATATATATATACATGATGGCCTGAAGATTGCGTTCAAGTATGAAACAAACTATTACCAATATTATTTACGAATTCACATGTATCTTAAGGAACTGTGTCCCTGGTCAAAGCAAATTCATAAATAATTATATTGGATATACTACAATATGCCTATCAAGAAGACTTACGTTACATCTCTGTGACTATAGCTCAGTTAGATCTCATTTAAATACAAACCTACCAAACTATCTGCAATATTCTCATTGATAATACAAATATAATAACCTCATTCACGTGTACAAAAAGGTTAAAAATAATGGAAACATTATTAATAAAGAAAGAAAAGGCCAACACTCAATAAGATCAACTATGAACACGGCCACAATGTGCTGACCATGTTTGGAAAATAAAACATTCCTATAACTCTAGACACATGCATAAAAGAATTCATGCATTCAGTTAAAAGTAAAAAATAAGATCATCCTTGATAATGGCTAAAAGTAGAGCCGAAAGCACTCGGACATACAGAACATTCGAACAATTTCTCCATTATCTATGTTCAGAAAATTTATAAAATATAAGAAAAATTTAAAAAAAAAAATTAACCGCATTATCTTGTCAGTTTTTTTATATATATATATATATATATATATATATATATATATATATATATATATATATGATATTCGTCTCTAGTCTAATTATATCCAAAATGTCTGCTCGGTCAGGAATATATTTTTTTTACACTTGTGTTTCTAGATTATGATACTTCCGGGTAAGTCAGTTAGTACACATATTTTAGCTTCAAGGGCGGGTAAGTAAAGAGAAACACACACACACACACACACACACACACACACACACACACAGAGAGAGAGAGAGAGAGAGAGAGAGAGAGAGAGATTAAAAAGAAAAATTAGAGAGAGTGATAATGGAATCGGAGAGAGAAGTGAAGTTTGCAAATGTAAAAGAAAGCGTGACTTCTCGTGGCTATTTATAAAAAGCCTCTGAAAGAAACTTTGATAAAAAAAATATATATATTTATATTTAAATGTTTGCATGTCAGTAAGATATAGAATCCGAACAAAACTGGAAAAATGACATGAATTGGAAAAAGTTTATTTTTAATGTCAATTCGTTTGGCTTTCGTGTACGAGGAAGGCGTTTTAATTAACGTTTTTTTTTTTAAATATAAAAAAGTTTTGTCTTTCATTTTGATATGAAAAAGGAGTAAAAAGGAGAGGATTTATGTATCATAGTCTTTTTGATTTCTGTATTGTTATATGCATCTCTCTTTGTTTGCCTATCTTATTCACACGGGGCCGGCGCGTACTACTGTCGAACTCCCCGACTAATTGGCAAACCCGGGCAGTGCTTCGTGACCCTTGTTATTTTATTAACACCTTTTTCTTTCTACCAACATTTATATATATTACAAATTAAACTAAGAGCAAATAACTCTTAATGAATGAAACACCTCCGCGGATTTTGACGCCATTCTGGTTTTTTTTTCCCATTTAGTCACTCGCGTCTCCAATGAGCCGCTCGCGTCTCCAATGAGTCGCTCGCGTCTCCAATGAGCCGCTCGCGTCTCCAATGAGTCGCTCGCGTCTCCAATTAGCCGCTCGCGTCTCCAATGAGTCGCTCGCGTCTCCAATTAGCCATTCGCGTCTCCAATGAGTCGCTCGCGTCTCAATTAGCCGCTCGCGTCTCCAATGAGTCGCTCGCGTCTCCAATTAGCCATTCGCGTCTTCAATGAGTCGCTCGCGTCTCCAATTAGCCGCTCGCGTATCGAATTATCCACCCGCGTCTCCAATTAGCCACACGCGTCTCCAGTTCGTCACTAGCGTCTCGAATTAGTCGCTCGCGTCTCGAATTAGCCGCTCGCGTCTCGAATTATCCACCCGCGTCTCCAATTAGCCACTCGCGTCTCCAGTTCGTCACTAGCGTCTCCAATTAGTCGCTCGCGTCTCGAATTAGCCGCTCGCGTCTCGAATTATCCACCCGCGTCTCTAATTAGCCATTCGCGTCTCCAGTTCGTCACTAGCGTCTCGAATTAGTCGCTCGCGTCTCGAATTAGCCGCTCGCGTCTCGAATTAGCCACCTGCGTCTCGAATTAGTCACTCGCGTCTCCAATGAATCGCTCGCGTCTCCAATTAGCCACTCGGATCTCTAATTAGTGGCTCGCGTTTCCAATTAGTCACTCACCTCTTGGTTTGCCCCTTTTGCTTCCAACTATACATTCGATCTTCTCATTGTCCGTCAGACCAGCTGTTTTATTTTCCTTCACTATATGCTCATTCTGTTTTTCGGTTTGCTTCTTACCTTTTTTGTGGATGTGTGTATAGCGCGCCGCTTATCGGCACGGAAATCGAAAGCGAAGAGCAGATTTGAAATTCCAGCCGACACCGCTGATTTCGCTTTCGCACAAACGTACTTCGGAAAAGAATGTATCCATTTCTTCCTTGCCACACCAACAACCAGAGACTAATCGCATGGCAGACTGGATTCTCTAGCCTTGGAGAAGGGCAACTGGGAATTCAAAACCGCTTGTTGTGGGGCGAGCATCTCACACTTTATTTGTTACAGAAAACGACAGCAGCAACACCCAGCGTGTTTTATGCAGTAGTTGTGACCCTCTGCTCCTCAGGGAGTCTGCAGGTTTCCTTAATGGGGAGAGAAGTGGATCTATCTATCTTTCTATGCTTATCTGTTTGGTTGTCTATCTTACTCTGTTTTCACGCATCAATCTTAATTTGTTCCCATACAATTCAGTTTAAGACATGAGTTAAAAACAAAATCGTTTTTTATGTACTGCCAGGGTGGGTTGTGAACAACGGACATCATAGACAGTAGGGCTGGAAAGAAGACCCCCCCCCAACCCCTCCGGGTAATATACCAGGGTGAAACTAAATAAATCCACCTCTGACGCACTCTTCTGAGTTCCGTATCTTCCTTACTGCTGTTAGTCCAACTTTTGACCGATATTTCTCGTCTTTTATGTGTCTTGTCCCCCACAGGGCGTAGGCAATGCGCGAAGTTTGAAATGAAGGCGCAAAATAATGCATGAAAAAACATAAAATCCGACAATTAAAATAAAATAAAATAAAAATTACGTGCCTTTTTTTCAACGATTTTTTTTTCTTTTTGATGTGTCGTGAAATTTTTGTGAATTTAAAGCTTAATAAGTTACTTTTTAAGCTGAGATTCTGTTTCATTAACTATAAGCAGATTTATTAAGAACAATAAAGAAAAATACTTTTCATTTAAAACTTCATTTTACAAAATAAGCGCATTTTAAAATAACATCCACGAAAATCGCGCAATAATCAAGACCAGTAAGAGACGAAAAGGTGTAAAAAGGTCATTTACTAAATACGCCTCCGCGTATTACGATTAAAGGAAAACGTGTGTAAACAACGCCAGTAATGGCAGCCGGACAACGCGAAAGAGATCGAACTTATATTGATGATAAATCGAAAACGGTAATCGAGCGCAATGTTTTAATGTCATTTTCGAAATGACCAGTCGATTTCATACCAGAATGGTACATTCTCGATAGCGGGAGCTTTTGGTGCTTATACTGCAAATTTACCAAAGTTAAAAGTGAAAAATAAATAATATGAAATAAATAAAATAGAAACCTAGAAAGAAAGAAAGAAAGAAAGAAGGCTGGGAGGTAGAAAAGAAAGATAAGCAAGAAGAAAGAAAGAAAGAAAAAAAGAAAGAAAGGCAACAATAAAAGGAAAAAGTAAAAAGAAAAAAAAAACACGAAGGAATTAAAGGAAGCAAAAAAAAAAAGAGAAAAAAATGAAAAAAAAATAGTTACAAAAATGTTTGGCGTATAAATAAAAACGAAACTATACTCTGAGATTCAGGAGCAACTTTGTTAAACGTTATCTTTCAAAAATACTTCTTATCTACAGCTGGGAAAAATGGTTTCTCGGATAGTGTAAGTTATATTTTCGAGTCTAAGTGACACACGCACACACGAACGCACGCACGCACACCGAGTGTAACAGCAAAATTGTCCAAATCGTGTAACAGCATAATTTTCCATCCCACAAAATGTTTAATATCTAAAAACCAATAAAGTAATCGACTTCCTTTTTTTTCACGGGTTTTCAGATAAGACGTTTAGCCATCTTGAAACCATTTTTTGCAAGAATCTCTAAAAAAAAAAAACCTCTGAGTTATTCACCTAGAAAGAGAATAGTTTAAAATCGTTTTGTGTCAGCCCCACTATGTCTTCCCAACTGAGCAATGGTGAGAGGAAAAAGATCATTGAGGCCTTCAGTAATGGTATCAACATTAATACTCTGGCTTTTCAAAGTCCATTCAACAACCATCAAGAGAACGGTAACTAAGTTTTAAAAAGAGGGAACAGTAGACTCTATACGTATAACGTCTCCGCCTAAACTCTGAAATTATATTTACCATTTTTTTTCTGCAGTAGGAGTAGATAGGTTCATCTATCGCCCGGTTCACACACCTCCACGGTCTTTCGAACAGAAGTAGGGGTTTACCGCTTGTTCCCTGTTTAGGACTGGGTTTCCGGTTCCTTTGAAAGTCTTCTCACTCTCTTTTCCTTTTCCAGTAGCCCTTGCGTCTTAGTGGTATTATTACCTTGCTTAGATTGAATTGATTAACAGAACGCGACAGCTATTGAGGGGATGTGATTAAACATAATTTAATGTTTAAAAAAATTATTCATTATTATTATTATTATTTAGGTAATAAGCATTATAACACAGCACAAATAGGAAATTATGGAAAAAGGAATTTTCCACAATATACGCATTTTTTACTTATTTATTTTTTTTAACTTTTATCAAATACGACATTCTTGTACATGTATTTATGGATAATATTGCATATTAATTACTATTTTTTTTAATTAATAACTATTCGTGCTCAGCTGTTGACAGCTACCTGCTGATGTGTTAAAATCTTGGAATAATGCAATAATAAAAATTTAAATTTCATCTCTTTGATAGATGTCCGATCTGTAAAAATAAATAAATAAAATAAAATAACGTTTGCACATTTTTTCTAAAACTTAGGTATTCTGGGTACTAAGGTACTTCCTGCTAGAATTTCCGCCCTGTGACAGGAAATTCAATGAAAACAAACTATTTAACGAAACTCTTTCAACACAAGAAGTCAAAATCACTGAATGGCAAGAAACTGAATACAAAACACAAGATTTTCTTTCAAAAACAGTCTTTGATTCAAAAACATTCAATTATCTCATCTATTAGTGGTAATCTGTTGTTTTTTTCTTCTGCGCATGCTCGGACGACATTAGAGAATAAATTACGCATTTAAAAATATCACTGATAGAATATCAGGTTGAACTGTTGTATCACTTGCTTTCTTAAGCACAGATTTGTTTTTATTTGATGCCAATATCGTTGTCAGTCAGAGAAAAGTTCCAAGACGCGAACTACGATTTGGAAATGCCAAAATCCAGCAAGTAAGAAAACTCAAATAAGTGAAAAGGGAAATGCGTGACATCAACATCTTAAGGCGCTTTATTTTCCTGTCAACTCTGATTATAAAAGTTTAAATGCAACGTTGATTATCATCTTCTGTCTCCTTGTATCATGTTCTGTCACTGTCCTCAACAACATTTTCCTCAGTTTTTTTTTCACTTTGTAACCCCTTGTGTCTTAATGCCGTTATCACCTTGCTTGGGGTGAAATGAATAAGGGTATATTTAGGCTGGAGCTGCCCAATCCTTACTTTCCTTGCTTGACAGGGCTCAAAGGCGTTTAAGCGATCTATTGGGGAAAGTCTATTTCCACCCTGCAGCCTCTTTCCTCACAGGCGCAAAGTTGCAAGCCGGTTGCCACTCTATCATTAGAACTCCATTATTTAGTTCCACTAGTTCAGACCATTATCAGTTGTAAGAAATTAAGAGACCTAAAGGAAAGCAAGAAGAAAGGACTAAATGTCAATTGTAAGAAGACAGGATGGATGGTCGTCAGCATGCGAATTATAAATTGGAGATACGAGAATCAAGCAAGTACAACAACTTAATTATCTCGAAAATGGTTTAACAGAGGACGGAATATGCGACACTAAAATCCGAAGGCGCATTGGAATAGCGAAAGATGACTTCCAAAAGCTAAGTATTAAGAAACAGGAAAATTTCGTTAGAAACAAGGTCCTGTGTTAAAATGCTAAGTAAAAGTATTAAGAAAAAAGAAAACTTTACCAAGGAATGTAATAACCCTATATGTCAGTGAATAGGGGACATTCTCAAAGATGAAGAGGCGGCTTGATGCAACAGAAATGCGGTTCTACAGAAGGATACTGAGAATAATATAGACATGAGTAATGATGACGTTTTAAGGAAAATGGAAAACCAAAAGGGGGGTATATTTAGAAACAGAAACACTTCGACGTCATGTAATGGTTAATCAAGCTTGTCTCGCTAGATCATTGACGAGTGAGTAGCATCCTCATTCGGTGCTCCATATTTTCGGCCTTGTGCCACATCTAAGCTTAGCTTATAAGATCGCTATATTTAGAATCAGAGAGAGACAGTTGAAATTTCTCGGACACATAATGAGGAAAGAGGGCTTGGAGAATTTGACACTCACTGAACATACTGAGGCAAGAAGGGCAAAGGGAAGCAACGCATAACCTAAGAAGGTTATTCACGTGTGTAAAGAGATGGAAGAACAGGGATTAGGAAGGATAGTAAACAGACAAACTTTGCTAAGAGGACAAAGTAAAAGATGTTGTGGAGAGCCATGATCACCCACGTCCTGAATGGACACGGATCATAGAAAGAAAGAAGAAGAGTGTATGAAGTTTGCTCCTCTCGATAGAGAGGGGATTGTAAAAGGAGAGGAAAAAGAATAGCCGACCCTTTAACACTTCCAAAAATAAAATTACCGTATTTTTACTGCTCATAGGACGCATTTTTCCCTATAAAACATCTCCAAAAACCACCGTAAGTCCTATTAGTCGAAGGTTGGTGACCACAGTTAAATCGGGTCAGCACACGGCTCCTCTGTTACATATGTATCTGAGCATTTGAAAGTAAAACAAAACCAGTGTTTCAAAATTACATTAACACCGTTTTCAGAGAAGCTATTTATGTGATTGGAATACTGGAATATTGTCAGGAAACGATATTCCTACTGCACAGTAACACCTGCTTAAGTAACACTTCTTTCTTTCTTTCTACGTCCCCCTTTTTCTTTCTTTCTTTCTTTCTTTCTTTCTTTCTTTCTTTCTTTCTTTCTTTCACCTTCTCTCCATTTTCTTTCTTTCTTTCAAAATCTCTCTTTTTTCTCCTCTTTCCTTTTTCTTTCTTTCTTTCTTCTCAATTTCTATTTTCTTCTCTTTCTTTCTACGTCCCCCTATTCATTCTTTCTTTCTTTTTTCTCCTCTTTCCTTTTTCTTTCTTTCTTTCAAAATCTCTCTTTTTTTCTCCTCTTTCCTTTTTCTTTCTTTCTTTCTTTCTTTCAAAATCTCTCTTTTTTCTCCTCTTTCCTTTTTCTTTCTTTTCTTTCTTATTCATTCTTTCTATTTTTCTTCTTTTTTTTCTTACTTTCTTTTTTTATTTCTTTCTTTCTTTCTTTTTCTCTCTCTTTCCTTTTTCTTTCTTTCTTTCTTTCTTTCTTTCTTTCTTTCAAAATCTCTCTTTTTTTCTCCTCTTTCCTTTTTCTTTCTTTCTTTCTTTCTTTCTTTCTTTCTTTACTTTTCTCCTCTTTCTTTCTTTCAATCTCTACTTTTCTCCTCTTTCTTTCTTTTTTCATTTTCTTACTTTCTTTTACAATCTCAACTTTCTCCTCTTTCTTTCTTTCTTTCTTTCTTTCTTTAACTACTGGTCACAGAGCAACATACTTTATGGTAGACACTTTAAGAACTATACTATGCTCTTGGTGCTATAGAAACACACCTCTCATAGCCAAAAACAATTTTTTTATCACGTGTTGAGTGGTGTCCGTGGACGTAATGGTAGTATTTTAAGATTTAACCAAGCCATAAATCAAACCTTATTTCGTGAGAACATTACTTTCGGTAAACTTTACAACGTAAACTTAATGCTTATGATAAACTTAACAGGATTACCAAGTAATGAGGATTTTAAACTATAACACCGGTATCAGGATTCAGCAGTGGGGTAAGCGCTATCGTAAGTTTTTACCTACACATAAATCAAAGTTAACCTTATTTCTGTATTCAAATATATATGTATCTAAATTAAAATTAGTGCTCCATCCTGGTTTATGATGAATTCGTCACGGTTATTAAGGATTTCAGGCTGCAATAAGGCCAGGCTTCAGTGGTATTATGCACGCTTAATTCTATTCTAGTTATTACATTCTAAATAGTTACCATAAATTTTGTTTGCGATTAATTTGTCATGATTAGTATGGCTGCTATAATGTTCAGTTTTAGTCTAACTTCTGTTCTAACTATAGCATTTTAAATAATTACCATAATTTTGGTACTTCTCGGTCTGTGATGAATTTGTCACGATTATTTACACACCTTTGTGGATTTCCAAATATAGCACTTAGATTACTTCGCTAGCCCTAAAAGTGATAAAGATATTTGACTCCCTTTCCTTCTCCCTCGTAACACTTCGCCAGTAACTCTGTTTTGTAGGCCACAATTGTTTATCCTGTATATATTTTATGTTCTGTTTTAGTAAATTAAATATTTGTTTGTGATTTAGCTCTGTGTTGTGGTAAGTCATTTTTTTCCTTTGTTACAATTATTATCAACACGTAACACTGGGGATAGTCGGGAAGGCTATGAGGTACAAGGAAAAAAAATTTTTTTCCCGATTTCTTCTTTCGGAGCGACATATAGAAAGCGAAATACAGTAAGAGTTGGTCATTTATTTATTCCGATTGTTTGGAAGTTGATTGTGCCTAGATCTTTTCAGTATCCCCTCGAAATAAACGTGTATATAGCTCAATGGTCTGATCTTTCTACTTTCCTTTTAAGAATATTTAATGTCAAGCTGAACCATTTGTCTTTTTTAATTGACCTGACCTGTAGCTGAGACCTATTTAAAACAAATTCAAAAAGGGCTTCATCAGCTCCAAAAACGGCAAGGAATATTTTAACTGCCCATAGAACTTAAATCTAAAGTATCAGAAATTACCAGTGATATTTTACTCTGGTTTGGTCTAAGAATGTTCTTAGGCCAACCCTAAAAGATATCCAAAGAGCAGCCGACAAGGCGAGTCATTGGATCTGGCTTGAAATAAATGATGAAAGTGGGCTAGAGAAATGATTCCCAAAAGAATGTGAAGTTCTTGACATGCTGCAAATCAGTCAAACTGGGTGGTAGCGCCTCACATTAGTGAGAAGGGTGTAGCACACAGTAAAATTCGTAAGGTTGCAGATCTCTAAATAGAACGTATTCTCTCTTGATGACTGAGAGAACCTCCGGATATCCGGTACACGAAGCATTCGATTCGCAACACTTTTAGTAGCAAGCTGTTCTCAAATTCAGCTCAAAGATTCCTATCATTCTGGCTGACTGATTTCATATTTTTTGTTTAATCATTTCACCCCCAACAAGGCGACAATGGCACCAGAAGGTAGGGAGTAAAAGTGAATGAGAGAATGATTGAAAATGGAGAAGTCGGGATGGCGTAATAAAGGCGGACCTTGACAGACCAAGCATCCGGCAGCCTGATGTAACCAGGTTTGCCAGATCTCGCCTGTCTTAGTCCCCTTTGAGTCGCGAGGGAGTCGATTCTGACCAAGTGTGTGGGCTTCTCCTTCGCGCAGTCTTGTCCACCAAAATCAAATTCACACAAGTGGCCTCGTCAAGCTCTCTTTAATTCGCAGCCCTCTCCGCCACCTGGAGTGTGGGTGCAGAAAGGGAATAGGAATGAGGATGGCGATCCCGATGATCGGGTGCGAGCGGATGCTGGCGCCGACGAATCTGATTTAATTTTGTTTTATACAAAAAAAGTTGGGATGTTCGGTTTGGTGTAAGGGCTAACGGCTCGGAGTAAGAAATCGGAGAACTGAGATCAAATACCGGTCGGGTTTATTACAATTGCACAAATACCCTCGAGAAAGGTATCCCTTCGCTCTGACCGTTGACCAGTCTAGGGTACACTCCACCCTGGTCGTTGACCAGTCTAAAGTACCCTCCTTCAGCTCTGGCCCTTGACTTCAGTCCAGGGTGCCCTCCGCTCTAGCCGTTGACTTCAGTTTTGAGTGCCCTTCGCTCTGGCAGTCGACTTCAGTCTAGGGTGCCTTCCACCCTGGCAGTTGACTTCAGTCTAGGGTACCCTCAGCTCTGGCCGTTGACTTCAGTCTAGGGTACCCTCCATCAGCTCTAGCCGTTGACCTCAGTTTTGAGTGCCCTTCGTTCTGGCAGTCGACTTCAGTCTAGGGTGCCTTCCATTTTGACCGTTTTCAGTCTAGGGTATCCTCAGCTCTGGCCGTTGACTTCAGTCTAGGGTACCCTCCCTCAGCTCTGGCCGTTGACCTCAGTTCTGAGTGCTCTTCGCTCTGGCAGTCGACTTCAGTCTAGTGTGCCTTCCACTCTGACCGTTGACTTAAGTCTAGGGTGCCCTCCGCCCTGGTCGTTGACTTCAGTCTAGGGTACCCTCCCTCAGCCCTGGCCCTTGACTTCAGTCTAGTGTGCCCTCCGCCCTGGTCGTTGACTTCAGTCTAGGATACCCTCCCTCCGCTCTAGCCGGTGACCTCAGTTTTGAGTGCCCTTCGCTCTGGCAGTCGACTTCAGTGTTGGGTGCCTTCCACCCTGGCGGTTGACTTCAGTCTAGGGTACACTTAACTCTGGCTGTTGACTTCAGTCTAGAGTGCCCTCCGTTCTGACCGTAGACTTCAGTCTTAGATGATCTCTGCCCTGGCCATTGATTCAGTCTATATTACCCTCCATCCAGCGATACAGTGTCATCACGGCACTGGCTTCACACATAGCTATGGAACCCAATGTACACTAGTTTTTTTTTTTTTTTACTTAAAAACAGAACATACCCAAAGCATTATTGACGTGGCTACATGACGGTTTCAAAGTCATGAACACTTTAGGTATTAAAATAATCAGAATTTACACCGGGCTACCATTCGATTTCGTATCGCCATTCGATAAGAATTTATCGAATGGCGCTACGAAATCACAAAGAGCTGTAGCAAATAACAAAAACACATCATTGAAAAACTTCCAACAGAAAAAAATGAGTGGGACATGTAACGCATAAAGAAATAATGATATAATCAACAGGTTGACTTTATATAATACTTTAAACAAAAGGTTTTTGAATGAATCATCGTGATAATCCTCAGTCTCATGACCCGGTATGGTAATGGTAATATTAACCGTTTCCTTATAAGGAAACATTAGGCATTCATTGATCGACCAGCCAGTATTGCATTCCCCGATCACTACAATCGTAACCTGGTCAAGTCAACCGTTTCCTCTCCTATTCGTATAAACTACTCCTTAACGTAACACTCTACCTCGAGTGGCTCCCGAGCTTTGTACAGTGTGACCCTTACGGTAAAAAAAAAACAAAAAACAAAAACAAACAAACAAAAAGAACAAAAATATCTTGCGTTTTAGTGGCTTTTTGCCTTGCTTGGGGTGAAATGATTAAGAAAAAGAAAGAAAAAAAGAAGTCTAATTCTCAACGCTGACTGTTCGGTCAAAGAATGTCTAATGTTTCTTTATAAGGAAACATTCAATCCCACCATCGCCATTACCATTGAGGGGATTATGTTGTTGGAAATTAAGGACGCTATTACCTTCACTGAATATGTGATCGATCATTAAGTATATGTTTCGACATGAAGTGACTGGATTTCTTTATAATGTAATAATCCCCTTTGAGATCGCCTCAGCTTTTCAGCGTAATTAAATTTCGACTTAAATGTCCAACTTCATAATCCTTTTCATCTCCTTATCCCAGCGTCTCTATCATTTTTCAAAACAGCCTGCAAGCTATTTCTCCGGGATCTCCATTAGTTTTAATAAAGTATAAATTCTCTCCGATCAATTACACTGTATAACAAAATTTGGTCAGTGTTCGTTATTTTCTAATGGCTTCTGTCTAGAAATCAAAGGAAATGACTATTGCTCCCTTCAAACTTTTTGCTTTTGTAGCGGACCGAGTTCAGGGAGGAACGATGTCAAGTTGGGCCCCCGAATAGCATTATTTCCGCCATTGCACTTAAAATTACGCCTTGTGAAGCATTTTGTTACAGCTCTAGATAAGGAGTCTGCAGCCTTCAAGACTTGTTCCCGGTTGAAATCAAATCCGGTGTCTTCGTCGGACCACAAATAAAGAAGTTCATAGAATGCAAGGAATTTCCCAAGAACTTGATTAAGATGAAGAAAGTGTCGCGGAGCATCTTTGTCGCTGTGGTTCGGGGCTTCTAGGGGAATCACAAGGCCGAAAAATATATTGAGACCCCGGTGAAGAACTACGGCTAAATAAGCGGCAGGATGCCCATCAAAGTCAGTATCCTTGACACTCATTTTGATAAATTCGAGAACATAGTGAACAAATTCAAGATACCTTAAACAAAAGGTTTTTGAAGGAATCATCGTGATAATCTTCAGTCCCATGTAACCGTTTCCTTATAAGGAAACATGAGGCGAGGAACAAGGCAAGCATTTCCACCAGGATAGACTGGACTTTGAACGCCTCTACCAAGAATCTTATAACGAAAACATGAGGGGAGATTATATTTAAGGACTAATTAGGGAAAGTAATTTACAGTATAAGCATAAATCGCGAAAAAACTACTTAATTCTAAATTTTTTATGGTCTCTCTTGTGTAATCCTAAAATAAAATAAATGCCACTTTTGAATCATTTTTTGTTTCTATGTTGCGGGAACGAGACTGTT